AATACAAAAAATCGCGGGCTTTTTAATTTGGTAAATGTTGTAGGTATATCTATATATGTATGTGTCTAATTTAACAGTGATATTCGGATTACATCATACCAGTATTTCCTTAATTACATCGGTATTTTGGTCCGTTCATTAATTTCAGACATAAAACTATTTTTAAATCTTACTAGAGACGCGTCTAGTAATACATTTTAATTTTAATTCATCTTTGAAATGTGCTGAAAGCAAACCAAATAAATATGTGGATATCAAAAAAAGTATTTTTAGTTTTTGTTAAGATTTATTTCAGTTAATGAAGACAATGCTTCTATAAACTTGTGTATGTAACACAAGTTATAAAAGTTATCTAAGACTACCTATGTAAATTTACTTTTATGGGAAAAATCTGTAACAAGGAAAATATTTGTTTGTATACAATAAAATTTATTAGATGCTTTGTTTCGTAATTTTACACTAACAATTTAAATATTTATGCGTAGAAAATCTTATTTCTTATATTTCACAAACTTTAAGAGGTAAAATTCCAATCAATTCCATGATAGGTAAAAAGTATTTAAAGAAGCTATCGGCAGATAGCTGAGGAGGGAAAAGACACCCTAATAATGTTTACTCAGTGCCAAAATCAATAAGAGCGCCCACCTTTAATCGTTTAAGTCAATAATACCAACGTTCCAAATCAGAATCACCTTTAAAACGTCCAAAAAAGTAGACCGACTGTAATTTTGTATCTTATTTACAATTTTGATTATTCGATTTTAAACATTTAACATATGGAATATTGTGTAAAATAACTTATTTCATATAAATACACCTTCTATTTATTCCAAAGACTTCTTCAAGAAAAGATGTTGTCTATAGACAAACCATCGTTATCATCAAAACTGATTATTTTATCAGTTCCGTATAACCCAAACATAAATAAATCTTAAAAACGTCTACTATAGTAGTTTATAAACACTACAAGAAATATGATATTTAATTCACAATCGTGGGCGATTACAGGAACTTAATATCTACTTCGTGTGTTATGATTTTTTTACAACCAATCTCGGTTTACCGACATTGCGCTGCGGTCTAACCGAAATTTCCTACAAATATGGTCAATAACGCACACGTGTATACAGTACACAGTACAGGTACAGGGTTGTTTAAGAAAAATAATTCTTTGACGTCATAGTTTTTTTGTATATTTGGTGACAACAATAAATTATGAGCCGCTGTAAAATCAAGCTAAGCTTTCCTCATGAATATTTAATAACGTTTGTTTTGAAAACGTTGTTTTCATTAATATCCCAACAGGCTGTCTTACGTTTTTGATGACAGGGTAAACATTATTACAGACAATATGTTTTAATATTCTTTTTATAAACGACTTAATTTTGAATATTGTTATCCAGTTTATGATAACACAGTTTTTGGTGAATAGAACGACTATTTTGTTAAAAAAAAAACCCTTTTAAACTCTACTCCCACCTTTAAAACGCCCTTTATCGTACATGTTTCCATGACACTAAGTGACCTTTTAAATACACATTGGCAAGTTGTGGCTTTATGGCGCTTTAGTCACGGGCTGAAGTTAGCAACAGGTTTTTAGTCACGGGCTGAAGTTAGTTTTAAGTTAGTTGACAGTTGTCAAATGACATACAATCGTTAAAATAAAGTGCCTTTCTTGTAAAATAATACTAAATGTGAAAATTATTTTATTATTTCAATACAAAAATACGAGCAAAAATATAAAAGTAATAAATAGTTTCTCACCGCCAATATTTGAAAAGTTTATATGAACATTGTCCTGACCTTTTAATTTCGCCGGCAGTAAACTACTCGGTAAACTATAACTTAAATTCGGGCACGGACTCCACTGTAAAGTGCTCATAAAACATTTTCTTTACTTTCACTGTGAAAAACTGTCAATTTTTAAGAAATACATTTCGATTTATAACCTTTATAATCTGTGTTTGACATTTGACGGTGACTCACAGATTCCCCTATTGTTTCATAGATGGCGCTCTATACAAATTTTTGATTTAAATCATTTTAAGATAATAATAAGTATTTGTCGTAGAAAAAGTATAGGTAGTATGCACCTCGTTTATAAACTTTTTTATACTAAATTCGTGTATAAAATGGCGTTTATCAAACTTGATACATATATGTATATGTATATACATATATTATAATATACTCGATAATATACTATTATATTTAAACATTTAAGTTCTTGTGCTTTTTCTCTTGTGCTTTTTTTTACTTAATAACCAAAAAAGACAAAAGTCAGGATTGGTGTACTTATAACTTTTTCAAAGTTCATTGCCACTAGCGCCCTTGACGTAAGGGTTGTATGGAAGTTTACAGTCAAGAGCCTTAGAATTCTCGAGAATTATTTATGGTACGTGTCTGTAAGAGAAATACTAAAAACGGCATGAACTAAAATCAGACAAAAATAAAAAACTCTCTAAATTTATGTCTGTATTTTTTTTCATAGTGTTGCCAATTTAAGTATACAGGGTGCACCAATTACCTCATACATATATGTTTGAGTATTTTTTTTATTTGCAGAGTAACAAGATAGGTTAAACTGGATAAAAAATCAGCGGTACCTACTCAAATAATTTAATAAAACTGACAACCTGTCAAAACAAAAAATTGTTACTTCAACAAGTAAGTTTTACATGAAACATACACATTTATCTACATTTTCATCCAATTTGTGATTTTTGTCGCCTACTGGATTTTAAGATACCACCACCATCTTTTTTTTCTAAGGCCGCCAAAATTGTACACGATTAGATAGAAAAAAATCAAGGAATCCAACGATGTATCAAATTACATAAGTTATGGCGGCCATTATAAAAGCAAAGATGGTGATGGTACAGGTACCATCACCAGGTTAGGTAGGTCCTACCTAACTCAAAACATAGTAGCAAAAAAATATGATTAAAGTGTAGATTAATGTGTATGTTTACTTACTTTTTTTAAAATTCCCAGGATAAACGAAGTTATAATTTATAAATACAGATTTTTGGTTTTGACAATCAATTTATAAATTTCATGTTAAAAGACTTGTAATTACGTAATTTTTCTCAAATTTAACCGACTTTGTAGCTTTTTAAATAAAAAGAATACACATAAAAGTATACTTGGTACACCCTGTATACCCCTCTGACATCCGAACAAACAAATAAAACCGAAAATAAATTACCCAAACTGGACCAAACCACTAAATTTTATTTAAAATCGACATTCACAAACGTCCTGGCAATTATACTTCATTATCCCTTTTACCATTTTCTAAACTGCCAATGTCATTTATCAAGGGAATTACGCTAAATCACCCTTTTATTTATATAATAGTAGGTATACAGTGCAGTAGCTATAAATATACAAAAAATAAAATTAAATTAAAAATAAATTTTGCAAAATTGTATTTTTGAAAAAATGGCATCATTGCAATGTTGTAATTTTGGGGACGTTGCAATTTTGTAAACTTAGCAACGTTGCAATTTTAAAATAGGCAACATTGCAATTTTGGAAATTTAAATTTGGCAATTACTTAAGTAGGCAGTTTTCGAAAAAACATTTTAAAGGTAATTAATATTATACAACCTATGTATCAAGTTTGATAAACGGCTTTTTAAAGTGTCTAATAAAAACGAGTATCTAGAAAACTTTATAAACAATTATAGTATAATAGTAACTACGCAGAATTAAAAGCAAATTTAATTTGTTAAACATTTAACATCTGTCGAACTAAACCTTACTTTTTCCCAATATATGTATAACAAAGCTAACTTCAGCCCGTGACTAAAAAGACCAAAAGCCACTGTTGCTAACTTCAGCCCGTGCGTAAAACGCCATATAGTCACAGCTCATCAATGTGAGAGTAGATAATTGCCTCAAATTTACAATTAAATTTGAGGCAATTATAGTATTTATAACCATCGCCCTCGTAGGTACCTTAGAGTCTGGGTCCTAATTTTTTTAATATTTTATTTAAATTTAACCATTAAAAGGGTATTCAAGCTTATATTAAGGGAACGCATGCTTGATTTTTAGGACAGGAAGTGAACGTTGCCATGTGCGTTCAATATTTAATAAAAAAAAATCCTACCTATAGATAAAAATATAAAATAATCTTGTAGATATGTAATTAATCTGGCGTCTGTAATATTTGTTCGGTGATTTATACCCAGATAAATTAATTAGTTTTGCAACTAAATTTTGCGATTGTAGTTTACACATGGGGTGTCTAAAACACCTCTTAAACTTCATGTTTATTTATTTCATCACTCTATAGTGGCCCATATTGTTGGTCTCTTAATTTTTTAATTGATATTACAAGAAAAAAGTTCAATATATTTCTAATCTAGGTCATTTTAAATATCAAAGGTTTAATTAAAAAAGCGGAGACGACTTAAGGATAGATTAGGTAATTTACCTTACAAAAGAATTTCTTAGCATGAATCAATTATTCTAAATGGCTTCGAGCGATATTTTGTTTTACTTATGTATAAATGAATGGCACATCTCATTACAAAAGCAAATATTTGTAATTTATAAATATTTATTGCATACCTACACAATTTTTGAAATTTGCGACTTTACTTTTTATAAAAAATGATTTCTATAGAAAACAATAAACCAATCAGAGCATTGCATTCTTCATTGCAACTAGTGTGCTGTGGAGAATTTTAAGAAACACCCTCATGTGTTTTAACAATAATTATTATTTTAATAATAATTATTGGAAGCCTATTTCCTAAAAATTACAGCTGTTTTAATAGAACAGTCGTAATTTTTATTAATTGTTACAGCTGTCAATAATTGTTGTATAGTTTGATTGGCCCTTTTTTAAAATCATCTGTCAAAAAGCTCCCCAAATTTTTAATTTCTGGGAATTCCAGGCACAATAAAAGTGAGGGAAATAAAAGGTAATAAAGCACCGTTCTGCCAAACGTTTAAAACGAATAGAAACCCTCGTTTTGCACCCTTACCTTCATATCCTGAATAATTGTCTGAAAAAGGCCGCCTAAAGCTCCTTCACGTTCAATGTGATGATGAGTCTCCATGATTTAAACTTAAAAAATCACACACCACTAAATAACCACACTTACGCACTATTTACAACATTTACCCCGGCGTATTTCTGTATGTTTTTCAGTCACCAAATCGTACACATCGTTGTTTTATCGCGCGCACTTGATTAACCCCCTACAAATCCTTCTATTGGTTCGAACTCGACACACTCTACGATTTTTAATTCATGAAACAGCGTATTAAAGTAAACACGACCGTCAAATTCGATGCGATTTTTCGGTGACACGATCTAAACAAACGACGTCCATTACGATCTTGCACTGTTTTCTTTCTATCGTCGAATTCACCCCCACCACAACCGTATCTAACAAAACATTTCGTTTGCCATTGGTTAACCGGTGACATCTGCACAGGAAACGTCAAATGGATAAAAGAACGGGCGATGTTTGTGGCTACATCTAACAGAGAAAAGTCGAAGTTTTGACAGATATGGTGCAAATGACCTACTGTACACTAAAAAACATTGAATTTAATAGTTTATTTTAAAAATAACGAAGTTTTGCATAATTTTAGTATTGTAATATTATAATTAAGCAAAATTAACTAAATTAAATATTTTTGCTTCTATCTTAAAAAAAACTTTAATAACGCAGCTTGCGTAAGAAAAATAGTCTGAATAAAATAAATCAATAATAAAACTTTTGCTTGATTTTTCGATTGTGGAATTATAATAAAGCAAAAATTAGTAAACTCGCTACACATTTATAAAAATTGCAAGTTTTAAGACAAATAAACAGATAAAAATAAAACCACAGTTTTTTGTAAAATTTATTATCCACTTATCCTATGTTGAAAACAATGTTGTTTGATCAAATTTCTTGCTATATCAGCGTGTCCTGGAACAAAAAAACTATAAAAACGCACAAAATGCAAAAAAACAAAAATCACCTAATTTCAGTTCAATGTAAATAACCAACATAATAATGTGCGCCGGTACTCTACAGGTGGTGCTGCGCTGTTGCCATATTTGCTTTAACAGCGCAGATGCTTGATCTAGTTGGCCTCTGATTGTTTTTGCTACTGCAATGTTGTATTGTAGTACGGAATGAGCGCTTTCTAAAGTATTTGGAAACCAGTCTAAAAAAAATATGTATTTTTTTTTCGACAAAAAATGATTTTATTTACTTGGTGTGGGGCCTGTTTTTACTGCATTCTTGGAATCGGTGGGGAAATTAAATGACAGTTCCTTGACATTTTCAGGATTTAGATGGTCTAAGGCGTCGCCTATTTTATCCAGTAGTATAAGGGATTCAGCGGCGTAGAGATGGGCTAGTAATCTAAAAATGTATATTCAGTATGTCCACGGATGAGGGCCAAGAGGACAAATGAACTAAAATTTTCATTTTTCGACAAAAAGTTCTGCTTGTTTTGAAAAGTCCATTGTCAATGACAATTTTTCATACTTTAAATTTGAAAGTATTATACAGGGGAGTAGAAAAACAAGAAAACATGAAATACTATCAAGAGTAAACTACCTACCTTTGTTTTTCGTTTTGGAGCATAGTGACAAATAAAAAAAAGATTTCAAATTCTATCCAAAGACTAATAATTATTGTAAAATTTTAACATAGTATTCGATATTATATTTTTATTTATTTTGTTTGATAGTTAGCATTTTAAAAATATTTTTTAAAACGAAATTTTACAATTAATATCTAAAACTGTGTCACTGTGACATTTTTGTTATAAAGGGTGGGCCATGTTTATGTTGAATTATAAAATAGCAATGAGAACAAGAAAAACTAATTTTTTTTCAACGAATTTTGCTTTATTTGATACAATGTTTCTTCCAATTAAGTATGGAAAATGATTTTATTTAAGTGGCCACCTCAGATGGCTCGGCAGTAACCCATCCTGGAACACCAATTTTCGAGCACTTTGTCAAAAGTTTGCTGCTCTATTTAGGCAATTTGAGCTTGAATGTTTTGTTTTAAATGGTGAATAGGCTTTGTTACGGCGACGTGTGGATTTTCCGTGGCCCAAATCCTACAGTTTTGCTTGTTGACATAAAAATGCGCCTTATCCGAAAAGATGATTTTTCTTGCAAAATTAGGGTCATCGTTCAACTGGTTTAAAGCCCACTCAGCAAAGCGAAAACGTTGTGGATAGTCAACTTGCTTTAACTCCTGAACAAGCTGGACTTTGTACGCGAATATACCGAGGTATTTGTGCAGAATCATCCTCAGAGTGGTACGGGAAAGGCCAAATTGTTGACATCTGCGCCGAGTTAATGTTGACGCGTTCATGCGTTCGGCCACAGCAGCGATTGTTTCAGGTGTACGTCTAGGACGAGCATGTGAAACATGTTTTATGTCCACCAGCATTCCATTTCTGCGCATTTTTTTGATCAAATTTGGTTTGACGGCGCCTCATTTCTTCCAAACGCAATTTTCTTGCCGTCTCTGCGATCACAGTCACATTCAAAGTAAGTTTTCAGTATTTCGAAACGTTGATCCAAATTTATTCGGTGCATATTTTGTAATCGGAAGGTTAAAACTAAACCACTGTCAGCAATTCATGGCGCTTAAGTTGAAAGCTTCATTAATAGCACGTAGTTTAAAATTCAACTTATAGATGGCCCACCCTTTATATAGGTAGGGTTCCGAACTTCCGTAAAAAAATCCGGGATATTTAGTGTAAATTTACCTTTATTACAAAAATGAGTCAAATTGACAATTTGAATTGTAACATTGTTCATTTTTGTAATTAATGTAAATTTACTTAAAATGTCCTGTTTTTTGTACAGAAGTTGGGAATCCTATACATAGGTAAAGTATACGTGAAATGAGGTAAAACTTTAAAAGAAAACAAAAATTTGGAATACTGAGTTGAAGCTTTACAATTAGTCTTTGGACAAATTTTTTTTATTTCTGATTGCTCCAAAACGAAAAATAAAGGTAGTTTCCTCTTGATAGTATTTCATGTTTTCTTGTTTTTCCAGGCCCCTGTATAAAATTTTCAAATTAAAAGTATGGCCAAAGACTTCAAAACAAGCAGAACTTTTTATGAAGAATGACTTTTGGTCGAAAAAAATTTTAGTCCATTTGTCCTGTTGGGATCTCTATCTGTGGACATACTGTATAATATAGGGTGATTCATTTCCGTTTTTGTTTTTTTTTCGGTGCTTAAGCAAAATATTAATCTGCATATAGGAAAAAACATTCTCAGCAAGTTTGAGCTCTTAATATTAATTTTAAGCACTTACTATTAAACTTTAAAGTTTTACCGTTTAAAATGCATGTAAAAAATATATTTTTTTTTCAAATTTCTAATGCTTACCCCCCTTTGACAATATTTCAAATCGGTTTAATACACCTTATGGGGAATTTCACGCTCTTTAAAATTGCTTTTGAGTTTTTTTTGTAACTCGCATTGGTTCACCAGTAGGAGTCGTCAAAGGACAGTTTTTGAAAAAAATCGTTTTTTCGAGAAAATCGCCAAAAGTAGTGAGAAAAAAGGGCTGTTTCATAAAAAAAAAGTTATCCAACCAATATTTAATGAATTTACTGCCATTTTTATAACTGAAAACGTAAGAAATTGATAAATACCAACCCATAATGTTATTTAGATTGATTTTTTCTATTTATTTTCATTATATTTCCCTACACTAAGAACTTTTTTAAAATTATTATGATTTCTCACTCATAATGAATATGAAAACTACACATAAATTTATAAAAAAACAACAAAACTTTAATCGGAATATACAGAAGGTTATGTAACATATTTCAAATTTCGCTTCAAAAAATTAAATAATCTTCATTTATATTTTTTTGCTATATGACAGAAATGTTGAAAAATTGCAAAATCCACGTTACAATTTTCTTATTGTTTTTTTATGAATTTATCTGTTGTTTTCATATTCATTATAAGTGAGAAATCAATAATTTTAAAAAACTTCTTAGTGTAGGGAAATATAATGATAATACATAGAAAAAATCAATCTAAATAACATTATGAGTTGGTAATTATCAATTTCTTACGTTTTCAGTTATAAAAATGGCTGTAAATTCATTAAATATTGGTTGGATAACTTTATTTTATGATTCAGCCCTTTTTTCTCCCTACTTTTTGCGGTTTGTTAGAAAAAATTTAAAAAAAAACCGATTTTTTTCAAAAACTGTCCTTTGACGACTCCTACTGGTGAACCAATGCGAGTTACAAAAAAAAAACTCAAAAGCAATTTTAAAGAGCGTGAAATTCCCCATAAGTTGTATTAAACCGATTTGCAATATTGTCAAAGGTGGGTAAGCATTAGAAATTTGAAAAAAAAAAATATATTTTTTACATGCATTTTAAACGGTAAAACTTTAAATTTAAATAGTACCTAAGTACTTAAAATTTATATTAAGAGCTCAAACTTGTTGAGAATTTTTTTTTCTATATGCAGATTAATATTTTGCTTGAGCACCGAAGAAAATAAAAACTTTGCGGAAATATATACAGTGTATATATATATATATATTTATTTTATACATTTCGACATACAAAATTTCTTATGGCTCAAAACCCATAATTTTTGTCACGAAAATGATTTATTGAAAAGCGTTACCGTTACCCTATAGTAAATAAATAAAACATGGATAAACCTGAGAGCATACCTTATTGTATAAATAAACCTTAGTGCATAAAAATTAAAATAATTACAAATTGACATTACCTGTGTACTCCGGACATCTTAGGTTGTTCCAACAAATTACTAGCATATTCTAGTGACAAAATATAATCCCCCAAACAAAGGGAAACGTACGCACTGCTCACTAGGATGTGATTTTTTAAAGACTGTATACTGTCAGATGACAGAGGGTTTGAAGGAGCAGGGCCGGGGTTCGGTAAAGGGGCAGGGGGGGAAACTCCAGGGATAAGAAAAAGAGGGGCAGGGCTAGTGGCGGTATCTGACGGTATGAGCAGGAACGCGTTGCGCAGGCATAACAACGCAAATTCTAGAGAGGGCACCGGTACTGCATATGACTGACTTTCAGAGCTAAAAATTATTTATTATTATTATATATATTATTATTTATTATTTAATTGTGAAATATTTTTATTATTCAAATAACCCGGACAACAATCGGGATTTCCTGGTGAAGTCATGATGATATCACAACGTGATTTTTTTTATCACGCTGTGATATCCTGAGTGCATACACATGCTTCATCACAGTAATATCATGTAGAACTCACGGTGTGATATTTGCAAAATTTGCGCATGCGTATGAGCCCTGCGAACTGCGAATTTAAAACATGGTTTGTTATTCACATTACACCGTTATAATTTATAAAACGTTGTTTGAATATCACGAATGTTGTCCGGTTTCAATTAAAAAAGATATTCCAATGTTTAACAAAACGTGAACGTTTTGTTAAACATTGGAATATCTTTTTTAATTGAACCCGGACAACATTCTTGATATTCATACGAACATCATGTCGTGATTTTAACAAATTTTATTCATACTGATATCATACGGAAGTCACCGCGTGATAAATGAAAATCATACGAACGTCACGTCGTGATTTTCACAAATTTTATTCATACGGACATCATCCGGATGTCACTGCGTGAGAAATGAAAATCATGTCGTGATTTTTTTATGCGTTTTGCGTGTTTGCGATTGACCGATGGCCTAAAAAATCACGACATGATTTTTTATGCTATCGGTGTTTGAGCATAAAAAATCACGACATGATTTTTTATGCCATCGGTGCACCGACATGTTTGGATATTTATTTTTGCGCCACATTCGTACATTGCAAGAAAAAGTATGTTAAAAATTAAATTACCAGTTTTTGCAGTCAAATACATTTAATATTTTCTTGGATGTAAATTAACTAATAATTTTAATCCAAAAAAATGCTGAATGTATTTATCCACAAAAACTGTTGATTCAATATATATGTAGGTATACTTTTTCTCTCAATCACGACATGATTTTTTATGCATCGGCGTTTGGTCATAAAAAATCACATGATTTTTTATGCCATCGGTGTTTGGATATTCATTTTTGCGACACATTCGTACATTAAAAGAAAAAGTATGTTAACAATTGAATCAACAGTTTAACATTCAATATTTTCTTGGATTTAAATTAACTAGGTATATATTTAAATTAACTAGGTATATTAACTAGGTAGTTAATTTAAATCCAAGAAAATATTGAATGTATTTAACCGCAAAAACTGTTGATTCAACATCTCTTAGTGTACGAACGTAGCGCAAAAATGATTATCCAAACACCGTTGGCATAAAAAATCACGACATGGTTTTTTGTGCCATCGGTCAATCGCAAACAGCGATGGCATAAAAAATCATGACATGATTTTCATTTCTCACGCAGTGACATCCGGATGATGTCCGTATGAATAAAATTTGTGAAAATCACGACGTGACGTTCGTATGATTTTCATTTATCACGCGGTGACTTCCGTATGATATCAGTATGAATAAAATTTGTGAAAATCACGACATGATGTTCGTATGAATATCACGAATGTTGTCCGGGAAATTATGACGAAATTATTCCCAAATGATAAAATACATTTTTTAAAAACTATTTCCACCCATATACCTATAGTTATAGGTATATGATTCTACCCGTATACAGGGTGTCCTTTAACTCGCGCCACCGAGAAAAAGGGAATGTGCCGAAAGTTATGCGAAACACATACTTGAAAATTAAAATTATCTAACGCAAAGGATAAGCGAGATAAGAATAAAAAACGATAGCCAATCACAATACATGACCATAGGGAATTCTTTAAATTGCTAAGATACTTAGGATGAATGCATCCTATCCTTGATATTATAATATTTAAAATATTTGCAAATATTTTAAATATTATAATGGTCAACTGAAATCCACTTCATTGGGACACTGCTGTCAATTTTTGTTTTTTCCCAGTGCTTTCCCAGTCGTCCCCTGGACTGTACAGTAGGGTGGGCCGAAAAAATTATTTTTTGAATTCAATTTAGGGGTAGCAAAAAAAATTTACCTTATGCCAAAAGTAGTTTGTAAAAAAAAAATTAGCGTACTAGCCCAATATTTAAGGCCCCCCCTGGGCGCCCAAAATATTATTTTTTTATATTTTTTTTGGGGTAGCAACAAAAAGTTACATTTTGTTAACAGTAATTCTAGAAAAAAAAAATTGCGTACTAGCCCAATATTTAAGGCCCCCCTGGGGGCCCAAAATAATATTTTTTTATATTTTGTTTGGAGTAGCAACAAAAAGTTACATTTTGTTAACAGTAATTCTAGAAAAAAATTTGATTACCAGCCCAATATTTAAGGTTACCCCGGGGGCCCATTTTTTATATTTTAATTGGGGTAGTCACAAAAAGTTACCTTATGTTAACAATATGTCTAGAAAAAAAGTCCGATATTAAATTTGACGTCAAAAATTTGTCGGTTTAGCAAATTCTAGGGTTAAAAATGTTTATAAATTTGGAAATGTTTTTTTTTTAATAAAAGAACTAAACATATTTATAAGTCAAGCAGACGACTTCTATATAAGGTTCGGCAAGTTTCCCTTTCACGCGCAAGCGGTGAAAAAGTTTGTGAAGCTTGTAACAGAAGCTGCATTAAAAATTTGCTGTGAGGTAGCAAGAAATGGTTATAACCATATATATATAGATGCGCGGACATCTTTACCGGCCTATATGACAACAAGTCTCAATATTATTTAAATAATAAAAAATACTGGGCGACCATTCCAAGCCCATGGACAGGACACATCAGAAACATGTCTAAATATATTCTTGTTACTTCCTTAAGTTTACTTATTTTTTCTACGAGTATTTATTAGAAGTATTAGCCAAATTTGGCTAATACTTCTCATAAATACTCGTAGAAAAAATAAGTAAACTTAAGGAAGTAACAAGAATATATTTAGACATGTTTCTGATGTGTCCTGTCCATGGGCTTGGAATGGCCGTGGGTGGGAGGGAGCGGATGGAACTTGAGGAGCAAATATCCAATTAATTAATAATAATAATAATAATAATAAAAATGCTTTATTGCATAAAACACAAAATTAATTACACAAAAGGCTGCGTTCGTAAGGACGTCCTTCCATACCACCTACTAAGAAATTAAATCTATTTTATTCTGCATATCACATATTAATTAAACTAAATCCTATAATTTCATATCACAACAGTTAATAACAAATTAAATTTGTTTGGATATTGAAATATTATGTTAAAGAATGTTTTATCGTTCAAAATTTTTATAGATAGGTCTATAAACGAATCCTTAGATTTTGAAGTTTTGTGACTAGGTATTTGAAAAAGATTGTGCCTTAAATCAAGATTGTATTTATTGGATCTTTGAATACAGTTGTTGAATAGGTATTCAGGCAATTATTAGGTAAGGATCAATTATTTTTAAATGCTTGTTTTCCAAATAGATTGATGTAATGGGGTCAAATTTTCCGACTAAATATATGAATCTAATACATGAGTTTATTTTTAAATGTTTCAGTATGATATAAGTAGTAGACTGGCATGCAATAGTCTATAATAGGGTGTATATTAATGTTGAAACAATTTTGCACTTGTTGGTGTTAGAATTTAGAACATATTTAAATTAATATAGTGATTTCAGCTTCATATAACACAAACTAAGTTGTCTTGTAACATGGCTTTCAAAGTTCAGGTTTGTATAAATAATAAAAAAACACCCAGATTTCTTGCTGTTTCTTGCTGAGGTATTTCTATAATATTTATATGTATGGTATTAAAATTATTTTGTTTTTTATTTATCATATATACTGTACCAATATTTATTACAAGACCCTTTTTGGCATTTAACTGAAGTCTATGATTAACTGACCAAGCATTTACTTCTTTTAAGACTTTATTTATTTCGATAGTGGTTGTGTTAATTAATTTAGAGTAACGCAAAATCTTTTTTAAATTTAATAAAATCAAGCCAAGAGTTGCTAATTTTTTTTCATCAAAAGGCGTCTTAATAAAATAATAAAAAAAAACTTAGACTGATACAGGCATTTGGTTTGTCTATGCAATAATACATGGGGTAACTTTTTGTTGCCGTCGCAATTAAAATATATATAGAAAAATTTGGGCCCCCCAGGGCACCCTTAAATATTGGGCTAGAATGGCTATTTTTTTCGAAACATACTGTTAACATGAGGTTACTTTTTGTGGTTACCCCAATTAAAATATGAACAAAAAATATATTTTGGGCCTCCGGGGAACCCTTAAATTTTGGGCTAGTACGCTCATTTTTTTTTTAGAATTACTGTTAATATAAGGTAACTTTTGTGGTTAACCCAATTAAAATATGATAAAAATAAATATTTTGGGCCTCCGGGGCACCCTTAAATATTGGGCTAGTACGCTCATTTTTTTTTCTAGAATTACTGTTAACATAAGGTAACTTTTTGATCCCACCCCAGTCAAAACATACAAAAAAAAATATTTTGGGCCCCCGGGGGACCCTTAAATAATGGGCTAGTACGCTACATTTTTTTCTAATAAATTACTTTTAACATAAGGTAACTTTTTATTGCTACCCAAAAATAAATATCTCAAATATTTTTTTTTTTACGTTTTTCGGCCCACCCTACTGTACAGTTGTTCTGGGTTGTAACAAAATTGAAGGTGCTCCTTAACGTATTAGAACAGCGGAAAGAAGCAATTGTTAATGCCTTTCATGCAAATATTAGGAAGAGCATAAAGGAAGATGCACGCGAGTTTCCCTTTCACAGTTCAGCATGTTATGAAAGACGTTCATTTTACGCGAGTGCAGCACCTGCAGTCGGAATATAATCCCGTTAGAGTGTAATTCTGTATTGGTTGCTAGAGATTTTGGCTCTGGGGTACAGAACTAGTTTTTTTACTTTAAAACATTGGCGTCCCGAAGTATGACATTCCTTTTTAAAGAGTTAGTAATCACAGTCGGAAAAAAGATTTTTTAAAGCTCCTACATTTAACCTAGGCGAGAGCCGAGGGGTAAACCACTGATTTTTTAAAATTAAAAATCAATTACGAATTAACGGCTAAGGATAACAATAACAAGGGTAGTCATGTACAACGCGTCGCTAAGCACTGATTAAGCACCGATTAAGCAAGTTTTCCTTATTGATAACGACTGATAAGGAAAAAAATCTCAACACAACGTCCACTAACATTGAACGGTTGTCCCTAAGATTTTAAAGTGGTTTACCCCGGCGAGAGCTCTCGGTATTGGCTGCCGCTTTTTTGTTCTCATTTGATTACACTATTACCTAGAAATATGTATATTTTAATCAAATACTTAAAATTAAATTAAAGAAAAAAACTGAACTATTTAAAAGTTCTGACTTTTTTGTAAAAGTCATTATTTTTTCCAATCGTGATATTGGACATCTTAGACAAACAATTACTGACTTAGTACCAGCAATATTTTTTTTTTATTATACCTGTATTTTTTGTCATTTGACAGGTTACTGTTAATGACAATCTTTTGTTTTTCCTTTGAACCTATCACATCAACTATCAAGTCCTTTTGTTTTTTTTGTAGATCAAAGTCGATTTCATTGCTCTAAAAATGGTAATATTTACGGTATTTTATGGAAATGCAAATGTGACTTACACTTTTGTGAACCATTATACAACATTCTGCGAGTCTCATCCATAACCTAGAATTTCTGTGGTACCTTTGTACAGCTATTATAAGACATTCAAAGGCTTGCGCTGCCTTACCAGCATACAGCATTGAAATTCCTAAATTGTACATTATTTCGTGGTATTTTGAGCCGCCCAGTGTGTGCAGGGCTTTATCGTCTTGAAAAATAAATAATAAACAATGTGAACATAGATTTTTTGTAATATGTATAAGACTTACTTGTTTCTTTTTTGGTATTTGAGTTGATTTCGATATCTTTTTTGAGGGCTTCTTGAAAATAATGGCACGCTAAATTTGGTTTGCCCATTGAGTGCATTATCACGCCTGTGTTGTTATTTATCATTATTATAGCGGATTCTCCACAATCACTACGAAAAAATTAGATTGTTTAATATAAATAAATATATGTTTATGTATATATAGATAGTATGGTATAAATATAAAAAATATTCTTGGCAATTATTTTTCAGTTACTCACCTATAACTCAAAGAATTCTGGTCAATATTTTTCAATATTTTCAAGCTTTCTTGTACATTTCCTTTTAAATACTCCAAATTCGCGGTCATAAAGAAATAATCAATATTCTGAAATTTGTGTACATACAAATTAATAAATTAAAACCGACAATTGATATATACTTAACATAATTAAAACATTTATTATTAATATGCATGTTTTACACCTCTATCATAACATTAAAATTCAATATTTTAAAAATAGTTAAGAAGTATGAACGATCCTTATATCTGGACAAACTTATATGGGTCTCTGAGACCCATGTTATTGGTTGGCCGAATTTTCGGACTTGTTGTGTTTAAGTACTCAGGAAGAGGTTTGGAAGAGTCAAAATTGAATTGCATAGGCAATATAACAGCTATTATAATGTACACGTTAATAACAGTACATGGAGTAATAATTAGATTAAACTACAAGGAGCAGGTTTTTTATAAAACCACTGATATAATACTACTTATTGTCTCTTTGGCATATTTAATAATAGCATGGGTTATGAGTATGCTGTATCAAAGAAAAAACATAAAATTATTGAACGATTTAAAGAACTTTGATAAAAATATGGCCAAGTTAAACACCATCATAAACTACAGCAAAACGTTAAAATACCTCAAATTTAACATTATAATAAGAGTTGTGATTACATTTATATCTATCATAGGACAAATTATAACTCTTAATTACTTTTTCAGCATTGTAAACCTAATATTTTTCTACATAATTTATTTTTTGGCAACTATTTTTAATTCAGCTGTATGTCTACAGTCAATTACGTACATACACTGCATAGGATACAGATTTCAACTCCTAAACAAGTTAATAAAAAGTATAGTGCAAAATATAAGCATCAGACCCATTCAAACTATATCAGAGGGCAAAAAATTCAATCCTGATTTAATACTGCTGTACAATGTATGCAGTCTGCATCACAAACTAGCAAAACTGGCCAGATTATTCAACAAAACGTTCGGTGTAATATTATTGGTAATGTTTGGTGTTAGTTTTGTAAATATAGTAGTTGGGCTTTATTTTCCATGTGCTAACCTAAGGCTTGATAAAGTTGACTGGGATAATGTTATAGCCTATTTATTTTTAAGTTTGCCTTTTATAATGGATACCATTTATGTTTGTCATATTTGTAATGCTGCTATTGAAGAGGTTTGTACATTTTCATCTGGAAAACATATTTTAGACATTTTTTTGATAAAGTTATATCCATCCCAAGTTAATATTCTTGAGGCAGTTACATATATCTAGCTTAAGCTGACATTTTTAAGAAATATATTATATATATATTATATTATAGTTTGGTCCATTTGTTTGCGACTCACCACTGTAAAATCTTTATTTATTGTGCGATTTTAACCGGATTTGTTTTAAAGTGTAGATCTTGATAAACTTTATTTTTGAAGAAAAAAACTCCATATTTGTATAAAATACAAGGCCTATAGGCTATAGTATACTATGTCAGTTTTTAAAAGTACATTTTTAAGAATTCTTATTAGCGATTTTTTTAGACAACAACTAAGCACGGCACTGGATTCACCAACCCTCAAACGACCCTTTTATTAAAAAATTTTAAGTAGAAAAATGCACAATAATAACAATTTATTTCGTCAAGTTATCCATGAAAAAAAAACATTAAACATGGATAACTTGACAGAATAAATTTTTGTAGTTATTATTGTGCATTTTTCTATAAAATTTAGTATAGGGTCGTTTTGAGGGGTGGGTAATCCAGTGCTGTGCTTAGATTTTGTTTTAAAAAAATCGGTAATATGAATTCTTAAAACCTGACATAGTAGGCCTTGTATTTTGGCCTTTTTTATCAAGATCTACACTTTAAAACAAATCCGGTTAAAATCGCACAATAAATAAAAAATTTACAGGGGTGAGTCGCAAACAAATGGGTCACACTGTATATATTTAGCTAAAGTTAACATTCTTAAGTTGCCATACTTTAGACAACTATGTCTACCTGCAGTTTTCTAATGCATTCTGCTCATTTGTTATCATCTAAAGTTATGGCGTAAAAAAGAAATCATTTCGTGGGTTAATTTAAAATTAAGTGGCGCGGGCAGAGAATTATGCGTATGCGTATCGGTCCATGTGGCATTTAATAATTTTATCCTCAATTCAACCTGTGAGCGCACATTCTACGCATGCGCTTATCTCACACGCAGAGCTCATAATATAAAGTTTTTAATATAGTTTTTTATTATACTTTTTTTTAATAGGAAGTTATCTTCACACTATTTTGGGGACACCCTGTATATGCGCATATATGAACGCATATATTATAATATATATATATATATATATATATATATATATATATATATATTATGTGAGCATAAATTATATGCGCTCACATATAAGGGTCCATAAAATAGTGTGCAATACTCTACGCGCGGTTTCTAAGGACAAAAGTAGGAAGAAAATTCTTATAAACATAGGTTAGCAAACCGTTTCGAAAATAATAATAAAAAAACATCTTCAGGGGCGCTACTTCAAAAGGCACACTATTTTAGGGACACCCTGTATATGAGCACATATGCGGCGGCACTTGGATGCGTTAAGAGCTCAGAACGTGCGGTAAAACTAAAAAAATAACATATAAAATCAGGATTGTTGTGCAGGTAGCTTAAGTTTGCAATCCAAAGGCCTGTTTACATCAACATTTCATTAATTCTATGATACACTTAACTGAAATATTCCTGGTAAAACAATTATTTAATATTTTTTAGTTTAAGAAATCTGGCGTCTTAATCCATAAAATAGATTCTGATGATTATGACATGAAAGACCAAATAGAAATGTTTTCTTTACAAATAGCCAATGAAAACCTAGAATTCAATGCTGCAGGTTTTTTTCCTATAAATTTTACGTTACTTTTTTCTGTAAGTATTTTGAAAACAAAACCAAATAAATAATAAAAATTTATAAATTTTTAGATTATTGGGGGTGTAACTACATACATAATAATAATAATACAACTATCCTAAAGTATAACACTTACCGGCTTGTTTTTAGATAATATTTGTAGTTCATTCAGGGAGACACCCATTGAATGATTCATTAAGTGACATCTGATTTTATATCTTAATATTTTTTTCTTTAATTCTTCCAATAGTGGATCAATCTAAAAAAAATTAAAAAAAAAAGATTAACAAAAATAAAGGTGTTAATATGGGTTCTTCTCTTTATTTTACCTTTTTATCCTTATCCTTGGTTTTCTTTTCACTCCCTTTAACAATTGTAGGACTTTCAGGCATCAAATTATTTTCAATATAAGTCAGTAAAGTTAAAGCCTTATCAGGTTGTCTCATGCAGAGTTGTAGCTCAATAGCCAGCAAACTAACTTGTTTAGCTAATGTATCTTCTGTAATAAACAATATACAAACCTAATGTTGTTATTTAAACCATAAAAACCTACCCATGGGTTCTATAAACTTATAAACTCTGTCCATGATTCTTTGTGATGCCGAATATTGTCTCTGATGAAATAATAATATTGCCTGGTTAAAGTGGGCTATGCAGTGGTCAACATCATCCAATTTGTCAATTTTTATTTGAAACTAAAAAATACATTAATATATTTGCGTTAACTGGTAAAACTCAAAATACCTTATTATTGATCGTATTTAAGCTATTTTGAAAAACATCAAATTTCTTGCAGTCGCTTTTGTAAAATTCAACAACAGCCTTGTTGTGCATCAACTTAAAGTCACTGGCTTTCCCGTCCAACGAGTTAATTTGTTGTAAACAGGCTGAATAGTTTTTTCTATAAGGATATTATCAATAATATTTAATTCTAACCTAGAAATACGCTTACTTTTTAAATTCAGCGAAAGCATTTTGCGCCGCTTCTCGTTCTTGCTCTGTAATGTTTTCTAAGGATTTATCTTCGTCTTTATCGACCATGTTTAAGGTTTTTATGTGAGATATTGGTATTTTAAGGGTAGAATGTTTGACAATTGAGTTTACTGACACTTTGGGCGGTTAGAACTACTTGTCAGGGTTTTTTGTCTTCTTCTTCTTCTTTGTGTTGGTATTGGTACGTTTAAACTACTATCAAATATAAGGCCCTCTACAAAAGTGAAATGTGTGCACTAATATTTCTTAAACACTGGTGCCACCACGGGAGGAAATTAAATTTCCGAAATTTACTTTGTTGAGGAAGGGATATACAGTAATGGTAATACACCGATTATCGGTGACCGATACTCCGTTTAGTAAACATATTTTGCGTGTTGCTTTCTTTCTATCTACTAGATATTACTTAAAGCTTTAAAGATATCTAGGAGATATTCTTATAAAAATATTGCATGAACAGGGCCGGCTCAAGGTGAGCGCGAAGTGGGTGACCGCTCGGGGCAGCGCGTGCCAGGGGAGGCAAATTTATACCTTGATGAGTAATCGCCGGTGAGTCAGCGCTCGAGCGATCGAGAACACACAGGAGCTCAATGGATTGTTCGGGGAGGTGCTTGCGTGACGTGTGTCACGTGCCCACTGAATATATAAGGCACAGCAAAGCATCGTAGAGTCAGTCAAGCTTTGGTACTAGCAACGAAATAAATTAAATACAATAATAATAATAATAATAATATCGTTTATTTTAAAAAATTTGCTCAAAAATTTACAAGAGAGCCTATAATTATATACTTATACAAAAAATAAAAAAGTCAAAAAATACATTTAATGTAAAAACAAATCCTTTTAAGTAAAAATAAATTTAAGTTGGTAATTTCCTTAATATCAGTTGGTAAAATATTAAATATTTTTCCACTTGCATAAAAACAGCCATTTTCATATATTCATAACCTATAGGGTATAAGGGTAATAATAATACTAGTGTCTAAAGATTTAAGATCTTGAAATAAATTTTTGTTTTTATAGATAAATAAGACAAGTTCACAAGCATAAAGACCATAAATTGTTAAAATTTTGTTTATTTTAAAAATACATCTACATGAGTCGATCTGTCCCAACATTGTGCGCAAAACTTTTTTTTTATTACCAAAATATAGTTTAGTTTATTTATTTTTTCCAATAATTGGTTGGACAAGTCAAAGTCAAATATAAATATCTCCCACATTAGTACTTTGGCCCCAGAAAATGATACCATATCTCAACAAGGATTGAATATTTGCAAAATACAATGTTTTTAAAGTTAGAAATTCCACATATGATCGAATTACTCTAAAATAGTAATGTGTTTTATAAAGTTTTGTAGTAGGTACCTACGTTCCAGTTGCTTCCCTTCAGACATTTATTTCAAAAACTAGATGGACAAACGACGGGTCCTAAAAGCTTTTCTGGGCCAATAGGAAAACAGCTTATAATTATAATTATAAAAAAAATTATTCGCAGCTGCCACAAATTAATTTTGAGGATTTAAGTACAGACCAGAAGTACTTGTTTGAAATTTGTCAAGCGGTGTCAAGTGCATATTTTCCCAAAAATAGCAAGAAGAAACCCAGGGGCCACTCTCGTTGGTTAACAATAGCTAATAGGATTTTGCGTTTATATATGTCCTGTTAATCTTCTTTTTAAAATTTAGAAGTTCTTGCCAAATATGTTATTCAAAATTTAGAAGTTCTTGCCAAATATGTTATGAGCCACTCTCGTTGGTTAACAATAGCTAATAGGATTTTGCGTTTATATATGTCCTCCCAGATAGCACAAGAGGTACCCAGGACGTCCATTTCGGGTCCCACATAGGTCCGAACGTCCTAGACCTATATCGGAAGTTTTGGGTACGTCCAGTTTCTTACTTATTTGGGAAAATTATAGCGGATATACTGGGTACGTCCCAAGGACGTAATTGAAGCATTGTATTTCCAAATGGTCTAAGTGCCAAGTTGGTTAAATAATATATTATCATTTAAAAATAGTTTATGTCATGCAGAATGACTTAATATATATATTCTGTAACAAGTTTGGAATACAGCATATCCGCTCGAGTGAAGAGTTTGTCACACAAGCCGAAGACGAGTTTGACGGTTTCAGGAGAGCGGAATATGCAATTCCAAACGTGTTTCAGACATTTCAACATTTACATGTACAAAATATTTGTTTTTCATTGATAACTCACAATTTTATTTTTGTAACTTAGACCCCCCAGACAGCATCCAATTTAGAAAGATTTCTGTACGAAGTCTGTTGAAGAACATCTTACTTAGGTCACAATATGACATCTTAGAGAAATCATTTTTGGAGCTCAAGATTAAGAGTTCTTGATGAATTCATAAATAAGAAGTAAATTTTTTAACATCTTAAAGTATTTTTTTTATGACCTCTTATTGAAATCAAAATTAGAAGCTACTAAGGGTAGGTATCATAAATAAGACTTTAGTATTATATATTCAGTATTCTCTTTTCTTAATTTTTACTGAAATCATATTATTAACTCTTTAAGACGTCAACATGGAGACGTCACATTTATGACATTTTAATGCGATTCTTTCTTCTCACCGCTGTAACTGTTTGTGTTTGATATAAGAAGCGGAGAAGTAGAATTTAGAGCGTGCTTCATACCAAACGGTCTTAGACCTAGGTAAACGGCTACCCGATACTGACGAGCTCCAAAAGAGGGAAACAGGCCGTCTATCGGTGCCGGTGAAGAGCACGCTTAAATTTAAACAAAAGTGAGACGAAGTAATCGCAATTCCTAAAATAAGCGAATACGAGCAAATTATTAAAATGATTTTAATAAAATCAATTTAACAAATTAATAAAATAAGACTTAATTAAGACGTCATATTGCTGTCTGGGCCTTTGGGAATACCACTCTTCAATTCTGTAAAGCTTGTCCATTAGTCCCCAATAAAGCATTTCAGGATGGCCAGAGGATGTCTTACTTAGGACGTTCTGGGGACCGACGATTTGGTAACATCGGATGTCCCTGGAACGTCCTGGGGAAGGTTCAGGACCTGATTCGGACGTACTCGGAACTTACTAATGTCTGATACAAGATATACTCAGGACGTTTTTAGTACTTCTTTGTGCTATCTGGGCTGTTAATCTTCTTTTCAAAATTTAGAAGTTCTTGCCAAATATGTTATTAAAATTTATTTTAGTTTTTGTTCTCAAAATGAACATGAACGTCACGAGAGTTAACTCATTCGTTAAAGGCACGCTTTGGAAAAGCGACAGCAATAAAAAATACCAGACAATACCATTGCTATGAACCGGTTCGTACTTTTCTCGAATGACACACTAAGTTTAAAATTACGCGTTTTTATATTTTTAAACTATAGTTTATAAACAGTTGATAGCGCCGAAAAGTTAAATATTCAGCAACTTCATTCAATTCAAAGTTATACAAAATAGTTTTTTTACAATTTTTTTTTTAATTTGTAAAAATGCATCAACCACTTTGGGTTATTAGCATATGTATGTTAGCGAAAGGGTACTTAAGAGCATACCAAGGGCGAGAGAAGATAAACAAATGAGAGCCTACGTAGACACATTAGTTTTAACGGCAGTCTGCCTGACACTTTGAATACGATCGGTTGATATTGTGAGAGTAAAGTTTTGAATAAAGACTTATAGTACTAAATAAATTAGTTTAAATTATTTAAATAACATTATTGTTATTTATTTATAACATCAGAAGTGGGATAGTGATCTGTGCAGTGACCTACAGAAATGGATGAAATTAGTGTAAACACAATTGTGTCGGAAGTGGAGAATTCTGACGATGGTGTTGCTTCGCCAAGTTCCAGACCCATCAAGGAACAATGGCAAGAAAGGTTAGAAAACATGGTAGTTTCGCAACAGCTACAGATTGCGGAGTTATTAAAATTCGCCAAACTACAGACATCGGCGTCCTCCGTGCCAACGCCCTGCTTTGTCTCTACAGACGGAGCCAGTGCGCAAGCGCCAGAAGAACCAACGCCCTGTTTAGTCACAGAAGACGGATCAAATGCGCAAGCGTCAGGAATGCTCACGCCAAGTTTGATCTCACCTGGAGAACAAAGGACGCAGGTGTCAACATCGGGACAGGGCAACATAAAATTCAAGCTCACCAGCTATGACCCCGATAACAGTGCATACGCAATCAACGAATGGTTGGAGGACGCAACAAAACTGAAGGAGGAACAGGATGTCAGCGATAATTTAATGATTGCGAAGGCGAGCGATGCGCTGAAGAATCGCGGTTATCGGTACTGCTGTAACTGGAGACCTTTACGGCGATCCTGGGAAAACTTTTGTGCCGACCTTATCACTGCTTTTCCCGACAAAGAGACACCAGGTGCCCGAGCGTTTAAAGCTTCGACACTACGAAGTAGAGAGTGCGACTCTTTGTGTGATTATGGACACCAAAAGCTTCGCAGCATACAGCGATTCTACGATAAATTACCGTGGAATACGGTTCTCAGTATGGTTGAGTACGGATTGGACCATGCTGAAGCACGTGCATCGCTGCACATACAGAAGCCGGACTCTGAACGTGAGCTTATGTTGAGATTAAGTGAGTTTGACGCACGCCGGCCACCAAAAGGGTCGTGGATCTCAGGGCGTGATGGAGCGCACAAGAGAGAGACAGGCGTTGACAGACGCGGGTCAGATAGCGGTAGACCCAACAAAATGTTAAAACGTTCATGTTTTAAATGTGGCCGTCACGGACATCTGCAACACGAATGCCAAAGCAGAACATCTAGAGAAGTAGAACAGGATAGGCCGAATAGTTCTAAGACCCCGACTTGCGACCACTGCAACAGGTTGGGCCATACAGAGAAAAGTTGCTGGACTAAGCATGGCAAGCCAAAAGAAGCGCTGCTTATAAAAAAATGACGCCACCTGGACACCACCCCAATAGCAACAATTTTAATCAGTGAGAAAGTGCCGTCTTTTTCTTATTTAATCGATACTGGTTCCGACGTATCAATTATAAAATATTCGGCAGTAAAAACAATAAACGGTACGATCAAACCAATTGAAAAAGTGCGAGCTTTTTCGGGATTAGGGACACGACTTGTGTACGCTATAGGTGTGTGTGACGTCATTACT